TGCTGGCCATGATGGAGCCTTTGTACAAGCGGAGCCGAATGGCTCTTTGCGGTATCTTCAAGGCTTGCAATTTCTTCATCTTCTTCTGTGTCTTGTACCTTCTTTGTTTCATCGTGGCAATCCTTCGAAGTCGGCCGGCTGTGCAGTCAACTCCTAAATCCCTCATTGTGTCATGCACTGTGGGGCCATTGTCCGGGAGCTGTTCTTGTAGTAGGCGTTTGGCCTGGCTGTTGGAGGCGATGAAACCTGTTTTCTTTGCAGAGATCACCAAATTGTCTGCTTCAAGCAAACTTTTGATGTACTGAAAGGCGGCTATGGCTATCCGTACAGCATTTGCTGGGTCCCGATCAACAATGTCGAAACTCAAATCGTCGATCCAGAGATCTACCTGCAGCTGTGGATATCTTTTGCAGAAGGCATGCAAGGCTTCTTTCAAGTAGATTTTGGCTGCAAGGGGAGCTTGTGGATCGCCGGCCAGAATGCCATGACTGGCCCAAATGGGCCGTGCTGCTTCTCCTTCTGCTTCCAAGATTCTGGAGCCACAATAGATTTGCATTGCCAGCGCTGCATGTGTGGCTGGGTAGTCCGAATCCAGCCATCTCTCATTGAGCTTCTCCAAGTCTATGCGATCATAGAAATTCGACATATCCATGAGCACTGAGATGACTGTGCGCTTCAATGCTTGGTGGTGTTCTGTCACGAATGCCCTTTTGAGAGCCACTTTGAGGCACTCCGTGCCAGGGACGGCCCTTTCCCATTTGTAGGTCTCTTGGATGTCTAGGGACCATTGTTTTGTATATGGCGACCTCACTTTGCACCACAAACGATACAATGAAGCCACCAAAGCAATAGGCCTCTCAATGTCCTTGTTCTTTGGCAGCAGTGCTATCAATGCGGTAGTCCATTGATTTGGGATTTGGGCCTTGGCTTCAATCTCATGGAAGAACCGGATCAGCTCCGGCACTGCTTGGTACGGCAGCTCTCTGAAGAAATCATAGCCTGTGGCATCCAAGCCCGGTGCTTTGTGGCTCAACTTTTTGATGGTGTTCCAGACGTGGTGGACTTGAAGCGGTTTGAGCTCTTTGGCCATCTCTTGACCTTTATAGATCAGAGCCTGCATAGTTTTGGTTTCCAGCGCTTTTTCCCGAATGTGCCAGATCTCCCCCCACTGTTGTATGCGTTTCTCCATTCTTTCTTGTCTAGGCAGGTCTTGGAAAGGCCGGACATAGGGTAGTTCATCCTTCTTCAAAGCTCTGAAAAGTCCTCGGCAGCCTTTGAGGGAAGCTGCATTGAGCCAAGTCCGGTATTCTTGTGCTTCTTGATCAAAGACTGTTTGTTGTTGCAGGGACCATTGCTGCTTCACCGCTTGGAGGAGAACTTGTACATGTTCATTGTCATGGTTTCTCCACAACATCTGATACAGCAGTTTGAAGCCGTCTAGAGTCATCTGTGCATCACTGTGCCAGTGTGCTTCAATGTGCCAGCCAAGGCGCTCCAAATGTTGCATGATTGCTTCCTGCTTGTGTGCTCGATGCATGTGTTGTTGCAAACGAATCTCCACTTGGGACCAAAATGCCAGAGTGCCCTTTTTCCACAACCAGGGTTTGCTAGCATCCGCTAATGGCTTTTGCACATAGCTCAAAGAAGTGCCTCTGCCTAGCGTCGGTGTCTCAATCTGCTGCAGGACATACCTCTCAATCTTGTGATACAGCCTGCCTGCCTGCTGCGTGAGCTCATTTGTTGGCATGTCCAGCCACTTCACTGACACTTCTCGATCTTCAATTTGCATCCATTCTGCGCTGATCTTCTCAAGCTTGGGTGCAGGCTGAAACCGTTGTATCTGAGTGACCGCTACATGTTGTAAGTCTTTGTTCAGCCGAAAAATGAGCTGTGCATGCGGCTTGAATGGCACTTGCCAGTCGACTGAGATTTGCACCTCAGGTTGGAGTGCTTTGGTGACCAGGGCCCAATCCAACTCTCTGCCAGTGTGGCATGTGTCTTCCCCTGAGGCTAGCACTTGCACCTGCATGATCGTGCTCATCGTTGTCACCATGAACTCTTCAGGGGTGATGTTGAAATCTCCCATGATGATAACTGGCTTGGAGACACTAGTCACAAAAGTCAACAGACCGGACCAGAGGATCGAGTTCGTGGCTCCTTGGACCCCTTCACCACATTTGAAATAGACCATCACAAGGATCAAATCAAAGTTCTCAAAAGTCCAATGCACTGCAAACCACCCACAACCATCAATGATCTGTTTCTGGATGTAGTGAAAATGCAAATGCGCAGGATAGACCAACATGAGGCCACCATTCGTGCCACCTTTAGGACTGATGGCTGCCGGTTGCCCCAAGACCCCAAAACTGCGAGTGTTGAACCATTGTGCAGTTTTCTCATGGTCTTCAGGTGACAAGTGGGTCTCAGCCAGGAAAATCGGTGTGCGTTCTCTGCTACTGAGCCATTGTCTGACAGCTTGTCCAAGGTTGGTCACATTGGCAAAAGCAAAACTGACTCCACTCATGCAGCGCCGTTTGTGTTCCGGTTCTGTGATGCTGCTTTGCTCTGGTGCCATCGCAAGATCCGATGGAATGTCATCAGGCAGCAAAAACTTCGAAGGAGCCGCCCAGACTTGGACAATCTGAGCTCTGAGGCTGTCTTGTAGGCCAGGAACTGGTCGTGGATAGGTTCCATCATCAACAATCCAGTACAGTCCTCTGTATGCAAAGACTGCATAAAAATGCCCGCTTTTGTGTGCCGTCCCTGAGTGGCACAGCAAACCCAACAACGAGTATCGTTCTGTTCTGGTCTGATTTCCATCCAGCGTGATAGGCAGATTGAAAATGGATGGCACATTCAGCACTTGGTGATGCTTCGTCCACTCTTGTTGATGACGAACGTACCTGCCAATCTGAGCCACCCAAAGCCCATTGCCATCCAGAATCTGACCTTCAGCCTGGTTTGCCCACTGGTTGATCAACTCTTCAAATTCTTGCGGTCTCCCTAAATCTTCAAAGATCAGGTGAGTTGGGAATTCTCTCCTCTGATGCACTCTCTGTCTATGATCTACATGATGGTACTGCAGTATCACATTGGAGGGCTGGGCCAAATCCTTCAACTCAAGTAGGAAATGAGCCGCATCATCTTGTTTGGTGTCATCGAACTTTTCCCACAAAGTGTGCAAGCTCTGCAGCTGTGGCAAATGAACGATCTCATCATCGGCCAATGCTGCTGTGACAGCAGCAGCGGTCTTGTTCCACATCTTGGATCCAGACAGAAAGCTTCCTGCCCAGGCCCATAATCTGAAAGGAGCATTTGCATAGCATCGATTCTGCGGATTTCCCAATCTGCAGTGTAGGTTTTGCAGCACATAATCCATGGTGGATTGTGCCACTGGCTTCTCCGGACCTTCGTCCATGTCATCCATCTGTGCGTCATCTCCCAGTGTGTCACTCGAAGACTTGGCACCCCCACAAAAACTGGGAAGGCGCATGCCTTCCTCTGTCAGCATCTCATAGTGTTGAGCTGCTGCCACCCCTGGCTCATCCATCAGTGCTTCCCTGGGATGGTCTGAGCCAAAATCTTCCCCGGCAGACTTTATGATGTCATCAATGTCCCCATGATGTGTGCACAAAGTCTGACTTGTCTCTGTGATGTCAAAAAAGAGCGTGGCAGTGTTACCCGCACTTTCTCCTTTTGGCAACGTTCTCAACAAGCTTGTGTGCGAAATCCTGAATCTGAGTGGTGGTGGCTTGTACACCCACACTGGCCATGATTGCCATCAGATTTTCAGGTGTCAACTCATCTGGATCAACGTTGCTCTCTGCTGTGGCCTGTTTATCCTCTTCCAGCTGCTTGTTGTACAAAGTCGTGGCCTGCTGCAAGTCCTTCTGGGCATTCTCAATCTTGCTCTGGAGGTCCTTGAGTTCTTGCAGCAATGCAGTGTATTGGGACTTGACTGCATCTGCTCGAGCCTGGATGGCGGCTTTCTTGTCAGTGAGTTGCCTCAAAGCTCCCACCGACTGTTTCAACTTGGTCGCCAAAGTCGGTTCTGGCTTGTCAGGCACCACTATCTTCTCGACCGCCGCTTTCAAGTCTTGTGGAAGACTCTGGAGATGTTCCTTGATCAAAGTGGGTAAATCCTGCACCGGTGGAGGTGGTGCATGAGCTACCCCCAATGCTTCACACTGTGTCTTCATGGCTTCCGGTAACGTGTCCCAGTGTTCCTGAATGGCCTTGCATAAAGCTGTCTGTTTGACCTTCTTGCCTCTCTTGGGGGGTTGTCCACCATAGAGGCCCGGAGGAGGTTCGAGGAGAGCTTCTTGGTAGGTCTTTCGAGGCCACTGGTTTCCCTTCTTGGGATGGTTCCATGCTGCCCATGTGACAGCCCTTTTCGATTTCAGATCTGGCAACTTGCTTTGCCATGGTGTGTGGCAGTGCAGGCAGATCAGCTGAGGTTTGCCTATCAAACGATCTTGCCAAATCCAGCTTTGATTGCAACCGGAGCATACCTGGTATGCTCGCTTCATGGCGGTCTACGTGGAGCTGCCGGCCTTCTAGCCGGTTTGAGGATAAATGGCCTTGAGCCCCAATATATATATATATATATACAGTGTGTATATATATATATATCCTTCATGCCATCGTCGCGGAGCTTACCGTCCGATGAGTGGGTGATATTATCTACAGTGTATATATATATATATATATTCAAGTCTAAAGGTTGGAACAACAAACAGCACATACAAATGCCTGGTTATCCTGTCTCATGTTTCATACAGCTATTTCAGAGCACTACATATGTTCTGATGCTGGATTCAAGCTGGATCAACCCCGCATGGGCACGTTCGCTCTATTGATTCTTGAACATACTCACTGGTCAAACTCTTGCATCCGGAATGACAAGAGGCTGCTAACACTACACCACACAACGGCTAAAAAAACAATGGGACCAAACGCCATCGTGGGACAGAAGACAGTTGAATGCATTTCATGTTTTTTGCTTCATGGTAAACATTTGTCACACCGCTATCGCTAAGACTTTGTAGCGACGAACGCTGCAGCGTTCCATTCCTCTGTGTACATATTGAAAATTCATGACAATTCTACATAGGCTACAGATTTAGCACTCCTATGTAGGTCAGCGTCTTGCATGGGCAGCAAAGAGTAGCCCAGAAAAATGCTCGCTCAGTGATTGAAATCCTGGCTTGTAAATCGTGGCAGCCTTAGTGCAAATACCAAACCCTGAATGTGATGACAGCCGTCTCCAAAGAAGCCATGTTGCTGGACTTCTTCGAGCACTATTTGCTTAAAGGAAAACTCAGATAAGCACTTTGAGCTGCTCTTGCTTAGTGGTCCTCCACACCCATGCTGAGCAAGGCAGGTAGTTCTCACGTATACACTGCTAATGCATTGAAGAAAAGTGCCGAAGGCAATGTTTGATGCTAGGTACACAACTGCTCGTTTTATTAAACCTCATTATAAAATATATTATATATATGCATACAAATGTAGACATATATATATATATATATATACGTTCAATTCTTCAATTTCTCTGTGGCGTGATTCTATCCAAGTCCAAGCGTCCAAGCGTCCTTCGCTCTCAAAGGACCTCCCCCGGCTCCCAAGGCCAGGACGACTCCGTGCCTTGCAATTGCAATGTTTCCCTTTCGGTCAGGTGTTGAACATCTACGATTCAACTGAAAATACGCAGAAAGTAGCTCAAAATGCCGACAAAAATATCAGCAAAGAGCTTGCTATGACAATTTGAAACTCGCCTTGTCAACCAGACTATGTTGGCTGGGCATGCGCACATCAATCTCAACTTCACCTGTGCACTTTGCGCTTTTCAGGCACCATTTCTTGAACATAAAACGCAGCACCTTCTTCGATGGCTGTGGAAGCTGCCATTTCTGCCATCCACAGGTCATGGTCTCTAGCTGCTCTAGCAGCTGTGACGCCTGGGGAAAGCGGGAAAAGGACTTGATTTTGCGCTTGCAGTCCTGGACATCGAAGAAACGTGTTCTAAGAAGGGCCTGATTGGTGTTCAGGTTCCGAACTTGATGATCTTCTGAAAAAGGAGAAGAGCCTGGGAAGGTCACAAACACGCCGAAAACCGTCATGTCACATCCCTTCCAAAAGTCGTATCTTCATAGTGAACATATTTAAATCGACTGCAAAACAGACTATACCCCATATGGTGAGCTTCTCTGCGAACAAGTCTAAACCGTTCTAGATGAGGTTTTTGAGGCGACGCTTCAGGACAGTTTGTCAATATTGGCCTTTCTGTCAGCGTCCTTGATGCCTTCGGAGCTGGAGATGCCTTCAAAGAGTGAGAGGTAAATGGGCAAGGGCGAGATTCACAGTGGGTTTTTTCCGAAGCGTTATGTGAAGCATTATCTCTTCTTGCTGTGCCTAAGGTGCTTTCAAGCCCTGAAAGCTCTCTCCTCTGTTGCAGTATCTCTTTGCTTTCTATCTCCGTAGGGTTTGGTTTGGCGATTCCCGAGCATTTCTCTTCTCTCTCATTCCTTTGCCCTTCCACCTGACGCAACTTGTCCAACTCATGGCGCCTCGTGCAAATCCAGGAGCGATTCGGACGCTACTGGGGGCTCCTGGCCTCACTATTAGGAACAAGAAGCTACTAGAAACAAGAATTAGTATTAGAATTTAAGTTTAAGTTTAAGCAGGAAGCTCCCGGGGAGCTTCCTTGAAGAAGCGTGAGCTATCCTACGTCCAGTAGGTAGTAGCTTACTCCACCCTCAATTAAGCAGGTGCCTATTTAATGAAGTAAGGGCGGGCTTTAAAAAATGTCTGAGCATTCCACAGGGTTCGGCCTTTGGAGACCTCCAACAGTGTTACACATGGCAAATCTGAGCACTCTTTTGTGCGAACCCGCTCGAATCGACGCTTGTGGCCCCATCTCATCCACAATGTTTCCCGGTCATCCAGCCCTGCTTTGTTTGATTGGGACTCAAAAAAGAAAGCCCGCACGTTCAATCGTCATCAAGAATCAGCGCTGCCTTCGCCGGAGCTTGCGTTGGATTGGCAGCTGGCAATGAAGGTGTTGAAGCTTCGAGCTCCTGCTTGCTACCGTGTATTTTGCATTGCTTGGGACTTCACTCCAAGTCTCTGAATGAAACAGTCTGCTCACTTGCCTGAGAGTTATCCCTGTGTTTGCCATCACTTCTTCGCAGTGCGTCTTTGCACCAAAGCATTGACGTCATTGGCGCGTATTTGCTCCCTTCCTCCTGGAGCAATGACCTGGGTGAAGGCCGTGAAGGCCCAGAGACCTGCACTGACAAATCGGATGCAAATCATTCTTAATATGTAACATGATGTGTACATGTGTAGATATATAAAATATATATGATTTGATATGTGTGTGTGTTCTTTTGTAAAGCTTTCTTGGATTGAATATGTTGGGAGCACCTCTTCTTGATCCACCTCAAATTGCCTCAGTGTTGTCGCAATCAGAAAGCAAAATTCCGAAGACCATGGCCTTTTCCTAGTGCTTCTGATTGAAAGATCTCAAAGTCTAATATATTGATGAGTGGTGTGGTTGTGCAGGTCAGGCACTCCCCGTAGTCTTTGTCGCCTGTTGAGCCTATCCACAGCTCTTTGCCTCGGGGATTCACGCTATTCACACAAGAAGGCGGAGAAGAAGGGAAAGAAAGGTCAGTATCCAATGTGGACTTTAGGCCTCTGATTGTGGCATGACTTAAAGAGTTCTTCTACCAGTTGCAACAAATTCTGGGCTCTGCTGGGCTTCATGGCTGAGGCCCTCAAAGCCCTTGAGGGGAAGGGCAGCTTGGCTTGAAGCCCATTCACCTGTCACGATGTGAAGGTGCGTCACACAGTCACGTCGGATTGATGGGTTCTGTTGAGGACTTTCATCAATCTCCTGCAATCTGCCTAATTCAAAGCTGTTGCTCAAGGTGTTCTCATCTTTTTTGTCTTTGACCTCATCCAGGGCAAACACAGTTGGTGCTAGCCCAAAAATGGTGAGAAACCAATGGCAAGTTCAGTTTGTTTCAAGTGGAATACACTTTCAGCAAGCACGGCTGATCTTAAACGAATTACGGTTCAGTTGATGGCATGAGGGGCACTTGCTTTCTTCGCTGCAATCAAATCCAATAACCCAACAGGCATGCTGTTCTACCAGCGATTTGCCAAGCAGAAGGGGCAGGAAAGAAAATGCACGAAGGTTGATCTGGCTGTGTCTGATATACTACAAGCGGCAAAGAAGGGTACGAAAACAGCAAAGCTGGATGAGAGGAAGGATTGTTTATATATTGTCTAATCATCTGTAGAGTGTTGAGTCATTACGGCTCAGCTAGCAATGTGCAGCAAGGTCCAGGGAGCTGTGGCAGGGCCTGGACCATAGTGGTCTTATTGACAGGTTCTGGGCAAGTAGGATGGACAAGCCCAACAGACTACAACTAAATGAGTGCAATCAAGCGATTCTAATTATTTGCAAGTGGCACATGCATACAGAAACTCTAAAGAAGCAGCCAAAACCCTCAGGAAACTCCAGCTTGGCCTCTCTGTCGTTTGTCTCCTCACAGTGGCCTGAACGTCAACTATCCATCTACAAAAAAAAGACCCGTCAATGACACACATTTGAATGACTCTCTCCGCAAGCTTCCCACCCGATGTTCGATGAATTTAGCTTCAAGACAAGAACCGTGCCTCTCAAGTGACTTGGCAATCTCTGCCTCAAAAAGTATAGCATGTAAACTCTCCACATTTCAACCTATATACCTGTTTTACCTGCACCAACTCTGCTTCAGGAAGCGCAATTTCAGGCCGCTGCCATCCTGGTCCCCGATACTCTCTTGGACCCTTCGGTTCCGGCAGCTGTGTCCTTGTCAGGTTTGAAGCAATTGCGCCAAGCCACAAAGCCACCAACAGTCAGAGTTGGAGCTGGCGCTCCGTGCCTGTTTTGGTGAATTTCTTTGGCAACATCGTCTTTCATGACCCTGAATACAGCCCCGAAAGACAGAATCAAAGCAAGCTTGAGCCCCACCTCGGCAGCTCTTCTGCTTCTTTTCCAGCCTTGAACCCACTCATGCACCTAACTAGAAGACTAGGACTAGAAGAGATAAATTCAGCTTCCCATCTATGAATATATACTCTGTATTCAAGCAGTATGGAAGGGAAAACGAGGAGCATGGCTCTTAAACCACGACACTATGGTCTGCCTTTTGACCCATCTAGGCACAAAAGCTTGAGCTTCATTTGCCTGGCGTCGAATGGCAAAAAGACCTGGCAAATGTCAATCAAGTCTTGGACTCCTTGTCTGGGTGTGTGCTAGACAAACATTGACATGGACCAAAAAAAGCTCTCTGCACAATAAAGTGAAAGCTCGAGTCATAGACCAGAGCACAACGGACAACACAGCAAAAACACACCCTGCAACGTGTCCCATCCAGCCTGCAAAAGGGTTTTGCGGATCTCCAAGATCTGAGCCCTTGGCATTTGGTAGTCAAACTCTATTAATGGTAGAAGTACTAAAAAAACAGTTGAACCGCACTCCGCATTCCTGTGATATTTACAGTATATATATTATATATATGACATATATGTTCATACTCTGGCAAAGTAAGTTGTGCACGTTGGGTTTCCAGCGTCCACCATCACCTTGCAAAAAACATACGGAGCAAAAAGGGGTCAGAGGCGGGTTCCAATGAAACTGAGGGCGAGTCTTGCGTGTGGGAAACTAGCAAGGTCCTTTTTTTGAGTCAATTGCCTGCGGTCAAGGGAGCCGACTCAAATGATTTCCGATACAGGAAGACTCAATGCCGACATCACCCAGATTCGACAAGCTCGACATTCCCGAGCCTCAAGGCCTCCCCACAGCGCACCAGCCTAAAGTAGCTGCCTCCCTCACACTCACTTCATTTCACAGTACGCTTCAGGGCCCAGCTCATCATCAAAGCTGTCACCTGACATACAAAAGACATGGCTGAAGAATTGGCTGGAGCCATTAAGGAAGCAACTGAGCGAAATAGCAGCATCATTCAAGCGGCTTGACAAAGCCTAAGATGCCACGAGGACCACAAGCGACATTTCATGAGCTTCTTAAGCTTTTTGCGGTTGTAACGCTCCTGCTGTCACTGCCTTGGCTTTGCATCATCTCAGGGACACACAATTCTGGCGTTCTCCAATGCTGAGAAAGAACAGGCTCTGGGTTACTCACACACATTCACAAGGAAGCCACCAGCAGCAAGGCGGATGGCCTTTGATGACATATTCAGATCAAAAATGTGCTTCTGAAGAGCTTCCAACTTCTGAAAATAAGGAAGGTAGTACCAGGTGTGTGTCAAGTTTCTGTGGCAGATTCAGAAGAAGACGAACACCTCACAGCCTCCAGCAAGGAAGGGGCAGGTCCAGCTTTCAGGCTGCATTCAGGTGGTCTAGGACCCGAAGGAAAGAAAATGCACCTCTGTCAGAAGAGCAGCATCGCAAAACGACGAACACAGCCTTTTGTTCCTCACATCGAGTCAGCTGCCAGTGTATCACTTCAACGACAGTAAATCAATGCTCAGCCTTGCACACCGCTTTTTGAAGCACTATGTTTAACGTGACAAACGCGACGAACATGGATCATATATATATATATACATATATTATGACTCCCATAGAATGTTCTATTGAGATCATCTGACACCATACCCAGCTTGCACCGCTGCCGAAGGTCTGAAGGCACTGAGACGTCAAGCAACAGAGAAGAGCGAACACCTGCAATAGTCTCAGCAAAAAGTAATGTATGTAACTAGTATGTACAATTCTCGACGCTTTAAAATAATCGGCCACCAAGTGTGCCTCAAGCACATCCTCTGGCAATTTCAAACGCCACAGCAAGGCCTTGACAGAATGAGGGCCAAGTTCACCGCTGTATCTTCAAGTATGACATGCTAGGCATGCCACTCTGAAAGAGCCACAAAATCCAAGGAGATTCTCCAGAACTCAATCTCTGGCGACTCTAATCAGACTCTGAGACTCTAGTGACTCTAGTGCTCTCCTCCAAAAGACCAGGCAATGCGGCGACAGCAACCTGACAGGTCTCTGCTACACAAAATGTAAAGAAATACGGCCCCTTGCAAATGTACCTTCCTAATTCCAATCCTGTGAAAACACATCTTCTGCATACAGTTGGTGCGTAAAGATCTCTTCCACGCCGGCATGATCTGCCTTGTTCTCATCATCATCAGCAAGTGAGGAGAGCCTTGAAAGCTGAACATTGAGTTACGAAAACGGGAGCGTGGATCTGGAAAAACGTATTACAGTAACGAAAGTTTAACGAATAAATAGAATAAGTCAACACTCCGAATGTAACAAATCCCTGGTTGTGGGTACGTAAGGCACATCTCTGGTCCAATCCAAGCAAACAGTGGTTGAGTCCAAGTGTCTTGTCCATCTTCTTGTCAAGTGACCAGCTTCCTCATGAGCTGGTCCACTTTATGTTTCCAAAATTAAGGATATTCCTTGATTGATGTTTCACGGGATGTCCAAATTTGGATATATGAAAGCTTCTATGATAGGTGCCATAGGCTCCCGGACATGGAGAGCACCACGTGACCACTCCCAGCAGAGCGTCTCAGGTGCTGCACCCAAAGGTCACCTTTCTTCAGGACTGACCTCATTCAACCGGCTAGTGCTACTCCAAAGCTGGAATCGACTCATTCTTGATCTTGCTTCGTGGTCTAGTCTGAGCCGTGAAGAGACGGGGTTTGAAGCCGGGTAGTAAGAGGTAGCCAGTAGCAGCTTGGAGAAAGAGACTACTCATAGCCATGCAAAAGAGCTCGAGCTGTTCGAAGCCTCCTCACTAAAACACTTCCTATATTTTGAAGTACGTTGACATTGTGAAGTGGTATTCGTACGCAAGACCTGGAGGATGCCTCAAGTCGACACTGCCGAACCTCCCAGACAGTTCAACAAAACCGTACTAAGAATCTGACAGCTTTACTTCACGAGAGGAAGGACACAGTACCTCGAGAAGAAAGCAAATATCCTGGAAGAGGTCTTCGTCTCCTCGATAAGCGGACAAGCAAGAAAGTCCCAGTTCAGCAGCTCCCAATCTTGTAACCACCCTTGCAAGACCACCTCCAGGAAGGGCAAGCATATCATGATGGACATCTGTCTGCAAACCATCATCTGCCTCATCCGCATGCTGTTGACCCTGTGCAACCAACAAATGCCGAAGAAAAGAAAAGCCATGACGTTGCAAGGCATGACAAGAGGGAAAGTTTCGAATGGCTGCAACCAAGGATTCTGCATCGGCGCTTGAGAACACAAGCAACTTATCCCCAAGAGTTGCTGTGCAATCGAGACATTCCATCGCAAAGGTGCAAACATCCACGCTGTCACTGTGTCGTCTCAATGCAATCATGGACCACAACACCACCTCCTTGACATCTGGAACTTCTGCAATTATCTTTATTCTAGCCGACAGTAATCGAAGTGAGGCTGCAACCAGGCGCTCACTCACACCAACACTTGCACAAAGAAGCTCCAAGCATGCTCGCTCATCCCGAGCTGTCGCTGGTAGAGCATTTAAAATGTAATGGATTGCTTCTTGAGTCGCCTCTTCAGGTATGAGATCAGCACCATCGGGACTCCTTCGCTTCGACTTTCGCTCTGAAGACCTTTTCAAAATGCCCCTGGATCGGACATCTGTGACTGGTAAATCGTTTGGCTGCACTGCACGGAGTTGATTCAAGGCTAACTCCCAACCTTCATCAGAGAAACTTATTTCTTCGACTATGGCAGCTACATTGGCAAGAGCCCGTCGATCATCGTTTATAGGTTTGGGCTTGCTAGGTGCAGACGGTGCAGACCTCTCTATGGCACCAGACAATGCAGAGTGCACTTGTGCAATGAACCCCTCAACACAAGACTCGTGGCCCTTTCCGTAATACCTAGCCACAAGAGGCTGCGGCTGAAATAATGAAGGCCATGTAGACTCCCAAAGGTGCAAGTCAAATGGTCTGGATGAGTCGTAAACGAGCACAACCTGTTTGCGATGTTGCTCGGCCCAAAGAATCTCATTTGCCAAAGGTGCAGTGTCAGCATGTTTGTGTGCACTTGCTACAGCTGCAGCAGCAACACATCTGGCAGACTCAAAAGCATTTCTCAAAACGCGCCTGCGGGGCCCATCAAGTTTAACAGACCCTGATAGGTTTTCTTGATAGAATGCATTCAGCCCTCGCTCAGTACAAACAGACTGCATCCAGCCTGCCAGTTCTAAGGCTGTTGTGTCTCGCAGACTATGGGACAATGTGATGAGCACGTCAATGCCCTGGGGCAAGGAGCTGTGGCGTGTGGTTGCGCAACCCATCTCATCTGAGCGGAATCATCCGCTTAACAAGTTGTTCAAATCTTGGCTGTACATTCACTTGTGTTTGAACATCTATCAAAAGCAATGTGAAAGGTCATTTGTAAATTATCATGTTCGCCTCATTTTCAGTTGAAATATTTCTTCAGTTTGAGCTCAAAGGCAGATGCAGGATGAAGATGTTGTGTGGATTTGATTTGGCAACCAGAATGCAAGAAATGGTCAAACAAAACACAAATGAAACGGATCAAGTTTAGCAATCACAACACCAGTGACTCAAACAGATTGGAGCTGGAAGGGTCACCTTGAACATGTCAAGCCACTGTTTGAAATGACCTGCCAGTAAGGCTCCATGGTTTCATGAGTATCTTTGTCAAGCATGAAGTAATACATGAGTTCTTTAGATATCTTTAACTAAAATAGAATTATATATAGTATATAGATTAATTTTCACAAAACTGCTATGTGCCGCACTTGGTGGACCCAGGCAGCAGCCTCCGTGCACCTCTTGAAACCTCTTGGAAGACCCGTTCACGAGGCCAACACGTGCCCAACGAGAGCATCCAACCACTCTTTCACACATGGCTGTGCGTCAAAACCGCGGGAGCTCCCAAATCTGTTAAATCGGTTGTTGCAACGTACTCATTGGCTATGTTTGACATGAAAGTTGAATCCCTACGTCAATTCGTACGTCACTGGGATGAGGCAATCAACACCCAAATGCTCCAAACAATCTGGAAAACAGGAGAGTGTTCCCACATGGCAACACATAGCAGCGCAATACCCCCATCACCATTGTGAGATTTAGGATTTATGCCACATCAATCAAACAAATAAAAACGAGGCATATCATATTGGGCACCGTTCGGAGGCACACGACTCAACGCCATCCAAAAGAAAGCAACATCAACCAAACCTCCTTTTCGGCAACATGTTTACGGTGCAAAAAACAAATCGTTGAGCAACACTATTTTGACAACTTTCCGCCTTCAGCTACCACTGTGTTATTGGTGGCCACAAGCATGCATCATCCTCCATTACCATCCAGCATCCCTGGCAGGTCTTTGACGTGTGCCGTTTTTTTTGCAATGTCCAAAAACCCTGGCAAAAACCGGTCCTCGCCAGTGAGGTTTTGCAGTAGAACATGTTTGAACATGAATGTTCGCAGAGAACAAGCACTCGCGGCGCTACAAAACCATGGAAATCCAGCGGCATCGAAAACTTCTGATGTTCTGCCGCACAAACAATCCAAACTCATGCTGTTTTTCTCCAAACGGCCTCCGCTTGAACTGGGAAGATCTTCGGTGGCAAAAATCAGTTTTGCGGGTTTTTGGACCCCAAAATGAAAGCTGCACATTCATCCAAACTGAAATTTATGTTTAAACCCAAGCATTTATTGAGAATCGTTGAGTGTGAAGCAACTTGGAACCTTTCCACAAGTGTGAAGCGCTCCGTTTGAAGAAGCCGGAAGAATGTGAAAGTTGCATTTTGTGAATTGTGTATCTTCTGTTTTCTTCGAAGTTTCCGTCTTTTCGATTCAATTGAAACGTTGCAAAACACAGAGTGCTTTCGCTTTGAGGAAGTAGCGGAGCTCGGAGAACGAGGTCCAGCTCAACATTTGGTCACAAAGGAAGAAGAGGCACAAGGGAAGGTGATTTCCGTGTCAGAAAGTGGGCAGTCTCCAACTTAGCTTTCCAGTGAGTTCCCAGTCGGTTTTGGTCTTCAAAGCCACATGTTGGTCTTCGAAGATTTTTTGAGGTGGTTCAAAGGTCACATGCACTTTGTTCAACCGATGCCAGCGAGTTCACCACCCACTTTGACAAAAGAAAAGGCTTTGGTCGGCTTTTGTGCTTCATGATCATGAAAAGTGGCCAAGTGCAGTGATCTTGGCAAAATGGCAAGCTCCGGACGGGAAACTGGAAAAGGAAGACACCACGTGGAGTTCCAAGAAGTGTGCTCCACAGTCTTGCAAGACATTCAGGGCCCACCTTCCTTGCAACAGAAACCATCCAGGACTGCAAAACACAACACATGCAACTCGATGCACCCAGCCGGCACCTCTTGGTGCCTCTTGTCCGGAGTGATGCAAGATTGTCGCTTCTGAGGGGTTTCTGACCACTAAGCTGTTGAGCGTTGCACATACAGGAGAGATGCTTGGATTGTTGTCAAAACTCCTGTTTTGGCGATGCCACTTTCAGCTTCTGCACGAAAGAAGATCTGTTTGACGATGCGCTGTGGACAAACCTCCGATTGAATTCTGCGGTAACTGACAATTAGACAGGCTCTCCAAAGGCTTTCTTGTCGCGAATGACGAAAACCCAAGCCAAGCGTGGTTTGAAGAGTTTTTGGCAGGGGACGAAAAGTTGAGCCCTCCGTCAAGAGAGTTTTTTTGCACGCGTGGCGGCCAGGGCACAAGTCTGGTCATCATAAAGTCGAAACGCGAATTTCTTCTCAGAGATGTTGCTGATGCCACAAACCCCCATCTTGCCACACTGCTTGCAACGTTTTGGTTGGCTGCTGCCTTTCTGTTCTTTGCCACGGCCTTGCTTTTGCCCTTTCTTACTTTTTGTGAAGTCATCGAAGTGGTGGAAATCCCGCCTGCGTTCATTTTTTTGCACGGGTGGAGACGCCATGTGTCCAGAGAATGCAGAGGTCATCCTGCGCTACTTGAAGGTGAGTCGTCGCTCTTTTTTTGCACGAGTGGAAACGCCATGTGTGCAGAGGTTGTACGTCATCTTGTGCTAGGTAGGATTGAGTTGCTGGCCAGGCTGCGAGAACCGAGAAAAGAAAGACACAAACCAAAGACAACACAAACAACAAAAGAAAACTTGAAGGTGAGTCGTCGGCCAGGATGGGAGAAACAAGCAGAACCAACAACAGAACCCAACAACAAACAAACCAAGCAACAAAACCTGGCTAAGACGCGACTCATCGGGTCATGCAGGGGTGAAACAACACGAAGAAAAGTGAAACAAAAGGGGCATCAAATTACGCAAAACGGCCTCTCAGTGCACTTTGTGCATGCCTCGACATTCAAAAGTCAGGCAGCAGACTTGCGAAGTGTTGCATTGTCTTTGCGGGTCCCTTTGGACATGGCACTGTACCTGGGTATCCAGGCTTCATCTCTGTGTATGCATCATTCTGGAGAGGCTTGGACAACCAACCTGCAAGTTCATCGCTTTCGCGTGCGAATGGTAGGCAGGTATGCATCGGAAAACCACTGCGGAGAGAAGCCCAATTGCTCCAAAAAAATAAGGTTCCTGGCTTCCAGCAGTGCTGCCTGCTGACGGTGAGTGTTTGCACGCTGGTTGTGCTTTGTTTGCAGCTTATTGAACTGCCAAGGACCACTCGATTTTTTTGCAGTGCGAACAAGCAGAGCATGACGCAGCTCCCTCCTTTATGGGGAAGAAGGGAGGCAGGGCAACATGGCGACCTTGCGGCGGTGCGCCTCCAAAACCGGCTTTGCAAAGAGACGGGGCGCGAAAAGGCAAGGTGGCAGTCACTTCTTTTGCACGAGTGGAGACGCCATGTGTGCATGGTGCACAGGTCATCTTTGGCCAAGGTTTGAATCTCCGAGTTCTGTGAAAACACGGAAGCAGTAGTGTCCCCTTTTTGAATCCCGCTCTTGAGCCAAACGTTACAGTCGGTTTGACTGTGTCTCTGTTCATCCACTCTTCTTCTGAAGAGGTCTGACTGGTCACAGTCGTCCAAAACATACTCAAAGTACAAGAAAGCATCTCAAAACACTGTCAAGCAAACCTAAGCTATACACAGCTCATCTCAAGCACTACACCTCTCTACATAGGGCTTCTCTAGACATGCTCCTAGCGGAAGACCCCTACTCAGCTCCAACCCCAAGGACAGAAAACGAAAAGTTCCACTACAAAGAGGTACTAGGTGATCCACACACTGTACAGGCGCGCTACCCAGACTTTTCACACCCCTTCTTGGGTCACCTCGTGCCTTCTCCTGGTCTTCCTGTCTTCTTCTTCTCTTCAATTCGTTTTCTCTGAGCAACTAAGGTTCGAGCATCAACTAAGATCTCAACTCCTGTCTTCCAAAATGGTCTCCAGGTCGATCAAACGTCAACAAACTCAAGTCAGCAAGTATCAAACAAGCCTCAACTCAATCGACCACGGCTCAACCAAGCAAGACAACAAACAAAACTGATCAAGATCCCTCAGAAGGCATGGCCTTAGGAGTCTCACAGTGATGACTCCTGGCTCATGCACCTTTCATCATTGGGATCTTGAAAGCCAGTTGCTTTCAAGCGAACACCTGACAGGTCAAAACGACAAACGCTCATCGTGACAAAACCTGCCAAGTCCAAAAGTGCACAAAGCTCAAAACAGCAAGCAAAAGGAATCTAGATCCAGCCCTCTAGTGACAAACCCTCGGTTACTGTTTGAGAAGCACATCGTGAGTTCAAAACCCTTTTACTTACCTTCAACTGCAACCAATCAAATCTGCAAGACAGGAAGAAAATGAGTCTAGCTCTCAACCCTTCTTACTGTTTCTCGTGGTCACGCAGCAATCCCTCTTGGTATCTGGCGTTCTCGGCTTTCCAACCCTGGTGCATTCAGCAAAGTTCAACCCTCGTGCAATCACAGCTTGATCCACAAGACACACATGAAGCAAACTGAAACTGAGCTCACTGAAGTCGAGTCCAACCCTCATCAACTCAACAAAAATCTCCTCAAGTTCACAAGACAGAGTTGAAGCGCAGTCAAACCCTTGCAAACCTAACACTCACTTCAAGCTCAACAGACACAAGTTGAAGCACGATTGAACCCTTGCTGAAACCCTCTTTTCAAGATGATCGCTGGTCTCAGTACACGCTAGTGGATATGCTTAGAAGCTTACCATCCCAGCTTTCCACACAGCCACAGATCTTTTAGATCTCAGGGCCCTCTACCTCAACCAAGACGTATGCCCCACTCTCAGTGCGCATCCTGTTGTAGATCTTTTCACCTTGAGGCCCAATGCTGCCAACTGATGCTGGAAGACCTGACCCACTTGCTCCTCCTAGAGC